AATTTTGGTAGCGTTCCCACAAAAAATTGTTCATCCCAGTAATTTGGACCAATCAAAATTTAAGATCAGGTGTCAAAACAAACCTAAGTAAAAAAGTTACGTGTAAAATAGAAAACCGTGTTATAGTTAGGGTTAGGATTAGAATAATATAGTGTTTACTAGTAAAACATCACGAGGAACATTTTTAAATTAGAGGTTACACCTGATCCTGAAATTCGATTGGTCAAAATTACAGGTGAACAATTTTTTGAGGAGAGAAAGTTACGAATTTTCAGAACTTGTTTAAGCCCAAAATTGATAAAAATGGTCATTGTCAAATTCGACTCTCATATACTTGACCCGCTTAATGTTTGTTTGTAATGTTTGTTTTTTTAAAAAGACTTTGATTTGATTTATGGCTTTTTGCAAAAAGATATGACCCATTGTTTTTGTGATGATCGAAGAAAATTTTATTTACTGTGTATTTATTTGAAGTCAGTAAAATTAAAATCTACAGAATTTCCGATTCACACATGACAACGTGACATGTAAAGGTCATATCTTGCAAGCGCAAAAAGCCAAGCTTACAATTAAAATTTTACAGAGCAACTAATCGCTGAATTTAATATATGTTAGAAATAAATTTTTAACCAATTAAACTACAGAACTAATACAAATAAAATCATATGATTATACAATTAACCAATAACATTAATTAAAATTTTTTTGCCAACTCGGATTAGAGTTTGGAACCGGTTTTAATCGGTTTTACATAGGAAAAATGAAACCGGTTCCAAACTCTAACTCGGATCACTAATCGCGCTGGCGATGAATGACAATTTTCTAGTAGCAATTGATATAAATGATATATATATATGTATATAATATTGTATAAATATACTATATAAGCTGAACTTTGTGTCTAAACTACTTTTGATTTCAGAAATTATAACGCGAGTTGGTAAAAAAAATTGATTTATAAATTGTATACGATACTCTAAACTTGATGCTAATTTGATGCTAATTTAATGCTAATTTGAATGATTATTTTACAAACTAGATAATATAAATGAGGCAGACATTTAAATAGTCTATGACAAATATAAGCTTCATCATCCAAGGAGTTGAAAAAATCAATATAAAGTTTCAAATTATAAATTGTAGCATTCTTATTCCAACTATTTTACAAATTAGATAAGACAATATAAATGAGGCATACATTTAAATAGTCTAAGACGAATATAAGGTTCCATCATCCAAGGAGTTGAAAAAATCAATATAAAATTCCAAACTATAAATTGTAGTATTCTTATTCCAACATTTATATAGAATGAACGATCTTTGGTCATTTGATCTTTTTCGTCCTTTTCTTCCCGATCCTTTTTATCATCAAGTACCTTTCGCTTAAACCGTTTATTTCCAAACAAAATTCCTATACCTTCCCAAATAATCATAACCACTGCATGAAACAAAAAAAATCCCATTTGTTCGCCGCTAACAACACCAAATAAACCAAAAATCACATATTCGTGAAATAGTCCGCTTAAAAAAAAACCTGCTAACACACCAGATGAATGTGCTATAAGAAATATTATATTTTTAATAGAATTTGAACGAGCACTCTTTTCTGTGACTTTAGTTGAATTGAAGAGGTGAGAATTAAAATTATTATTAGAGAATAAAGAAATAAGTGAAGTGAAGATAAAATTGAAGGTGGGTTTATACGCTAGTTCAGTGAAACTTTGATGGTACATTTGTTGCCACCTATTGCTCCAAAAATCTTTTGGGCTTGATGAAAGGTAAGGAACATCAAATAACATAGGAGTTTCAAATAAAAAAGAAATTAGCCATCGCTTGATTGCTATTAATCCTTTGTAGAATTGATCATCATTTTTAATTTTGACATTTTTTCCCTTATTAATATCTTCGTAAAGTAAGATTCCACAGAATATCAGGGCACAACACAATAAAACCATCTCATATAACCAACTCATATTGATATAGAGAAACCCAGCATATATATAAGAGTAAAGCACATAAAAATAAGAAATGAATAGTTGAGATGAATCGATATTTACAAGATAATTGAATATTCTCAAAGGGTAAGATTGAGAAGGCACGGTAGGCACATAGATTTCAAGAAATGTTACAACAATTTCCTGAATTCCGCATATGAATATGAGTTTTTGTAATCTATAAAATAGGTATGGTATCATTTGTCCTCGTTTTAAGGTTTTGGTTGTGTTATCATAATATTCAGGGTTATCATTTTGAAAAAATGTTTTGAGTTTTGTAGGGATGATAATGGAATGAATATCGATATGTGATTCACTTTTGATAAAAGATTTTTTATTTGGTTTCCTCCAATAAAATAATGATTTATAAAATGGATCATGTTCTTCTTGTTGGTTTGAACATTTTTTTAGCCAGGCTAACATTTTAAATGTATATGCACAACCAAGAGTTGGGAATAATCCTTGACTCATACAAGAAAACTGCCAACCATAATTTAGCGGTATGGTCAGGAATATGAATGTTATTATAAGAAGTAAACTGAAATGAATCTTTGTTTTTGGTGGAGTGAAAGATAAAAGAATGAAAAAAATGAGAAATGTAAACATCAATGTCAGGTAAGCTGGGAAAGAGATTTTAGCCATGTTTTTAGAAATACGTAGAAATCATTAAAAGATTATACGAAGGCTATTTATTATTTATATAAAAATAAATAATGTTTGTTAGGTTACTCAAGCTCATTGACTTAAAAAGATCAAACAAAAAAAGAAAAACAGGAAAAAACATGAGATGTATGCACCAATGACACGATAATACTAGCAGAAATTCAGATTTAATTTTGGCGCAGTTCTGCTTGTTCAAGCAGAAAAGCAAACAATCTTATTGAACAGAAAATTCTGCTAGTGGATGTAAGTCATTGTGATAAGGTTGAAATTTCATTTATTTTGTCCAATTTTGTATTTTATAGTATTATTTACATATTACTGCAGAATCTGCAAAATGTAATGTTAATTGTTGCAGAATTCCGAACATTAATTCAGTTGTTAAAACTTGGCAGTAGTGCAGGCGATTATAGTACAATCTTTCTGCACTAGTATTGTGCAACGTTTTGAGAACTGTATAAAGTGCATTATCTAAATAAAAACTGTTGCCTACGAGGGATGAAAACTTTAGCCTCAAATTTAATAGGATCGACCATACATATAAAAGAACAGGACGTACGTACGCACTAGGGTGGTAACTCAACTAGTAAATCAAAACTATGTCAGCAGTATTAGTAATTTTACTATGATCAGATTTTAATCAGTGAAATTAAAATAATCGATTAAATATCATATTGATATATGGGGTCTGTTCCTTGAAAATGACCTTACGGGACATAGTAAATCATATGATCAAAACTTGATTTCAAGGAACAGACCCCATATATTTAATTAATAAATAACGCACAAAATTCTAAAGAACGCACCTTAACATCACATTTCTTTTTCTAATTTCTTTTAACTGAAAACTCTTCGCGAAAGTCATCTCTAAAAAGTTACGCTCGATTTTTCGCAAAAATTCTATTAAAGTTTCGACTTGTACGGTTACAATTAATTTTTTTTTCACTTTAACTAATGAAATTTAAATTATTTATAAGACGAATGTTCAAATCTATATGTTAATAGAAAATCTGAAAGTGTAACTTTATTCTCCAACATTTAATAAGCTACTTGTGAAAATTTCAGGGTTTTCAAGAAGTTGCATTGCTTTAAAGTAATTAATTTTAATAAATATATTAAACTGTAAATAACAATTATGTAGCGATAGCATAATTAATACTGTAACGATATCGTTAGTATAACAATTAAATTGATCTTTATTTGTATAACATGAAAAATCTGCAATATATCAAGTTCTATAGTTTGCTCACATAGTTTTGATTACTTAGTTGAGTTACCACCCTAGTACGTACGTAGGCTTTGAATGAAGAAAAATACTGATACATACAGCTTAGTTTTTTCTTTTTATAGT